GAGAAAAGGATGGAAGGATCCTGTTCATATGGACCTGTCGTCAGACAGAACACTAAATAATAATAATGGCGACGCTATCAAGAATCATACACTGATAATAAAACTCCCTTATCTATTTCTGTGTACAATTCCAACTATTAAACATTCACCATACATCAAATACGTAAGATATAACCTCAAACTCCAGAACTCTTGCCATAATTATAATGATTAACACGTAAAATGGATAATTTGAAACGTAACTGACAATAAAACATTTCCACCAAAAGGAATTCGAAATATAAAACGAACACCCCAAGCCACCGTCTGCACTGATCGAGGTTTTAAGCATCTCATATGTCTCCTACAGGGCTGAAAATTGTGAGAATTTGTTTCTCCGAAACGTCGGTATCTACAGACTAGTTTTAGAGGGCGTCAAGACGCAGAGGAACATTGTCGAGTGACTTGTTTGTTCAGTACGGCGTTGTGCGCCGATCTGCACAGCGCGTAAGGGTTCAGTGTAATTACAGACGGCCCATAAGATAACATGACACAGAACTATCCGTTTCAACTTCTCAATCCGCCCCAACAAGCGTCGACTGCCAAGGGCGTCGTGTGTCAGAAGCGGCGACCCCTGGCGTCCTCTCTGACGCAGAGGGCAATAATAAAAAGCGACTGTCTGCATCATTTGTTTCCATCGCCACACCTTCCGTTTCTGGACACAAATGAATGACGAATGTTACAAGATGAGCCCGACATCGTAATACCTTACTGGAGTTTTTTGCATTTTCATTTTGATATTTACGCTGCGTGTACTTTTCAGGAATCAGCAAAAACCTACTGACCTGATAATCGGGATTCGTTTCCAGGTGCAGGCAAGGATTTATCTCGACCTTCTCACTACAGGCTCTGGGGCCCACCGAGCCCCCTACCCAATGGGTCCCGGGGGCTGTCCTCGCGGTAAATCGGCCACAGGACGAAGCTGAGATTAAGGGGGAGCCCTGAAATTTCGGGGCATTTATGAGACCGCGACATGCTACTTAAGTAATTATCTCCGTAAATAATCATTTTTCCCCCTTCCTTCCACCCACATTACCGTGATCTACACACGCCTGTTACGCTATACACAAGTACACGTTTTTATCCTCGTCACAAAAGCATCCTTACATCAACGCAGAAATGTAGAGCGAAAGTCAGTTTTCGCATGTCGCTTTATGAAACATTGTCTATCCTCCCTTCAACTCCTTCCATGTTTTCGAGTCTACTAAATCCTTCTTCATTCAAGAGCCTTGCGCTACAATTAGCAATGGCTTAAGCTCACGTGAAACTTAACGGAAAAGACATTTTTCCGCATTTATTTTGTTTCCAAAGGAAAGAGAAATACATTATGAGAAGTCTAAAATGCACCAGCCGAAATTTTATTTTAACTTCATAAAAGACAAATCAATTCAAATTCAGCTGCTTCTTTTCAGATGAATAAAAAAAATTCAAAATTATGAACACATTATACCTTAATTAAAGTACGATGACTCTTAAAGGTTCATCTGGACTCTCTTCGCACACAAAACATAAAAATATCAACATCACTACGAAGAAGTGGACAAAATCATATTTTGAAACTTACCCCGGCATGTTACGTCTTCGACTAAATTTGGTATGAGTTCACACAAAATGTTTTTACAGAATTTTTATTTTTATGTTCATATCGTCTTAATATAAATAGCGAATATACTTAATAGACGACTGTATAAAATTTCTTAAAATCCGTACAAAATATATGCTTAAAGAACTTGTAGATAACCCAAAATTTAATTACCGTGGTCCCTATTCAAAGCCAGATAAATCGATTTCACAGTCTCCCAATGCATTTAATATAATTTTAATATTATCCCTATCTACTCCATCCCACACGTCTTGACTGATTATTTTAACAATATCCCGCGAATGTTACAAACTTGCCCTTTTATAAGAAATATTTTTCGACACAGAGAATTTTAAATGAAAACGAGGAAAATTCATTTCCGATCTTTGCTTCAAATTAATATCCGAATTAATGGCGTGTGTTAGGTCCAAAAGACCGCTTACCAAGTACATTTACTGCATTTAAATCCACCCTCCCACGTTTATATAATTTCTCCACCAGCAATTTATACGCATACTAACTTTTATTTTTTTACAACAGAAGTGGAATTAAAACAAACAAACAAACAAACAAACGCAGAAGCTTCTGAAGTACTCATCACGCTGGAATATCTGTGTAACGCCAAAGACTTTTGTTTTTATTGAGGCAATGAATTAAGGGGGAGCTTGTTCCCATTCTGTTTTATGTAGAAGATTTCTTTGAAGTTAAACTTCAGGTTTTGAATGCAATGCTCTTTTATTTCATAGACGCGAAAAACGAGTGGGGAGAGCTCCCCGCCTGCTTTTATACAACACACTGGGATCACATCACCACGCTCCCGTATCCCTTTCAGACCCTGGTCTGACTGAGGTTCAAATGAACCTCAGTTCGTCGCGAAACAGACGACAGCTCCGTTTGAAGACATCCTGATTAGTCTAGAGAACATTACTTGGCAGAATTGAGCCTCGAAAGGGATTTTCATTTAATATACCCCTCAAAGTTACAGATTTATTCTTAATGCATTTAAAGAAAATATTCTACTCAAAGTTTAATTACATTTCGTAGTTCAACGTCGCTAATTAAAGTCTTCAGAGCTTAACTGTGAGCCGAGAAAAAAAGCTCTTAGTCGTGGCCTTGTACACGACCGTTCATTTTACGGTCGGTATAATAACTGTGAGCTTCTGAACTCGTAGACGAGACGTCACACTTTGGTGTTTCACGGCGCGCTAAATCGCGCAGCAAAGTAGAGCCCTGTGTGTTAATACTTTTCTCCAAGTTTCGTCATATTTTATTTTTACAGACATAAGATTTTATGAATTATAGTTAATATAAAAATATAAAGATTAATCAAAAACACAGATTAAATATAATTCTGAGTCCAGGAAGAAATACATGTGTGTTGGGGGAGGGGGGGGGGACCCTAGGCCGGAACATCATAAGAAAATCGGTGAGATGTTACATGAATATTAAATTCTTTCGATTTTGAATAGCTACGTCTCAGGGCGGACGACGGAAGAATTTAGAATCAACGAATGAATTACTGTGTTGTAAAATTCATCTCGAAAGCGACGTCAAAGCAGGGAATTAACTCAGATCGTGTACATCCCGTTTAGTAGAACATAGAGCACGTACAATATACCACAGAGTGAAAGATGGCCAGAAAGCGTAGCACTGCAGGGAATGATGGATAAATCGATAGAATCGAGGATGAAGGAGCTGTCTGAGGAACAGAGCAAACAAAGGAAGACGAGAGAAAAGAAAAACAAAGACAGAACTAACGAATGAGAGTAATAAAAGAACAGAAATCAATGAACACAAAACGAATGACACGTAAAAACTAAACAAGGAAACGCAACGAATGAAAACAAATGTTTGTTTCCGCCTGTCCGGTTGCCTGTATGTGCAGAGAGAAGAGTGGCGCGGATTCTGTGTGTGTGGATTCAAGTTATGGATCCATTATAAATCTTACGGATTCTACGAATGAAATGAAGGCGTGGCTCACATCCCCAACCTCTGAGCGGATTTCCATGAACTTGGAACTGGCGCGTGTTAAACACTGTTCAGGGATTGGAATTATCGATCGTGTCGCCCCGATATAATCGACACTTGCATGAGCTACAAATAAAATATTATCGATATTTTTAAAAGCGATTTTCAGTCTCCATATGGTGAGAGTTTGACGAAATGCACCACAAAATACTTTCTGTAGATGAATGTCTCTACAAGGATAATGCGTCTTGTAGAGAAAAGGACTGGCGTTTCTGAGGCACTTTCTGCCTCCATCATCAGGGAGATCGCCCTTCCGCGTAACAAGGCGTAGCATCCCAGCAGTCGTCATACTCGTCGCCGTGAGAACCTAAGACGTCTCCAATAATTTCTGACTCTGCTTATTGTAATTATTTCCGCCATGAAAAAGCTGACTTACAAGAGGACACAGGAACGCATTTGCGAATAAGCTTACTTAAACCATAACATTAGGACACGAGAATTTGCGCCTGGAGTTCGATAACTCAGAACCACAACATTAGAACACGAGAATTTGCGCCTGGAGTTCGATGTAAAACTCTGGCTCTCTCTCTGCCGTGAGCCGCCGCGTCGAACGTTGAAAGTTATCCATGGTTTCGACAAACATTGCGGTTGCCATCTTCACTGCCAATATTTTGGTCGGGCGTCTTCGAAGGCCTTTTCAGAGCAGTAAGTGGGCTGAGAGTGAGATATAATGGATCTCAAACCGAAATGTTCACCCTGAAGATGGCAACCGCAATGTTTGATGAAACGTTCAACATTCGAATTTGATGATTCGCACAAGCTTAAGTTAATTATACCTACAATAAATAAATGAACTTTAAATATTCATAATGCGACAACGTCGAACTAGGTACGATCTTCAATCGTTCAAATTCTGTGACTATGGGTTCGAATCCCGTTCGGGTCATTCATGTGTCTCCGTGCCGTGTTATTTTGTGCACGTCGGTAACTTGTAATGTGCCCCCCCCCCCCCCCCCCCCGCCGTGTCTTTACGTTTCCGTTGCTTTGGCACATGGGAATGCATCGGTGATTGGAGTCCCAGGTTTGTTTCACAAGGTAATTGTTGCACCTCTTTGGTTGTGTGTTGTCATTTGAATTTACTTTATTTCTATGGTCTGCTTACTGCATGTTTCGTCTTTCGTCCCTTTGACTGTCTGGATCTGCCACCACAGTATATTCCTGTTAAACCTTTATATTTCCTGTTTCACAGCAGTCATACGTGGACAAAAGAATACGCCCATCGCAAAGGCGTGTAATGAATGAACAGGGAAGTGACTACAAAGTCAGACCATCAGATACAGACGTCACAAACGAGGGTTGTGCAACCGAGTCGTGACGGATTTCACTTAGTGTTTACGGCTTTGTGACTCACCAGTTCTGTATGGCTGAGAGTAATCCTTGTCAGGGCTCGTGTACAGCTTCCCACTCGCCTCGTCTCCTGGTTCCAGGTACGCCTTCGAGTCCCGCGGGTCACAGTAGGCCTCTACTATCTCTACCTACGGAACAACAAGTACACGTGTCACGGAGTCTCAGTGGCAGAATGGTGCAATTGGCAACCATCAGCTTTACTCTGTATCAACCACAACTCGTACCTGGTCTGGATTATGAAACACGCTATTTCTGTCTCCCCCTTTCCTTCCGTCCTGTCTGAACGGTGGCTGCTAGGAGACCATAACCCGTGTAATGCATAAAGCGATGTTATTTAAACGGCAACAAATAAAAGATGAGTGACGTCACATCCCTTTATTTTTAGAGCGTGGATTTAATTACGAGTAACAATTGCTAATGTTTTTGTTTACCTGCGCTGTAGTAACTTTCATCTGTCAGTTCAGAAGTTAAACTTTAGGCAATGATTTGTGTTGAAGGAAATGAAACAAATTACTTCAGTACAGTTCATTTTAAAAAAAAATCAACAGCAAACAAAGTAAACTTCAGCTAACATTCCTGCATAAATTTTACGACACAGTTCATTATCAATTCGACTCTGAAGAAGGAAACATAAATTTCCCCCGAAACGTCTGTGACGACACTATAAGCAGAAGAATCTGCAGGGAACCTAAAGTCCATTACACTTATTTTCGCGTAAAGAATTAATGGACTTTTCAAACGCCGGGTCAAATGAAATAGAACGAAATTTTGCCAAATAAAACCATAAAAAACAACCCCTTCGTCTACTTAGTGATCCTGTTGGTAATACAGCCCGAAACGTGCCTTAGCAACACGGAGTGATTATAAGTTCCATTCAAACTTGGTACATGGACTGAAGCGAGTTTATTCCGTCACTATGACGAACAGATTTCTCGCGGAATACTACACAAAAGTTTCGACGATACATAAACTCTTTATTCGATGAAGAATAGTTAAAGAGCGCACATTTAGACTACAAATTTTATTTTCAGTGACTTACTCGGATGGCTTTCGTTTTTACAAGTTCCCTGAAGAACGCACCACGCATACATTCGTTGGAGGGCTGACACCGGAACAAATAGTTAAGATCATGGAACAAATTTACGAAACTGAATACCAGGGCTTTTCACACTGAAAGAAAAGACTACATGGAGAAAGGAAACAGGAAGGAGGAGCCTAATATTAATTTAATGACATCTAACTTTGCAGAAAGAAGTGACAATTAGGAAGAGGAATGTCGTTTTGTTAACGAATTCCGAGGAAAATTGAAGACAGCCGTGGAACAGAGGACAACTTTCCTTTCAATCCTTTCAGCACTGAAATCTCGCTCGAAGTACTACGTGTTCTGTTATAGAAATGCAAGGTTTACACGTCTTGATGGAATGAAGCATAATTATCACGTGAAAGGAGACACTTGCTGATAACTTGCGAGATTAAATTCATGCAAACAGAGAAGTAGGCAAAGCATTTACACAGGAAGATAAAAAATAGTAATCAAAATCCATTTTGAGTCAAAGTCCACGAGAAGGAAGATATGTTAGCAGACATCGTTAACCTCTCGAAAG